TGCCTGCTCGCTCTTTTCTTCCTTCCTTCCTCCCTCCCTCCTTCCTTTTTGCTATTCCTTCTCCCCTAACTCACCCCCTCCCTCCATTCTTCCTTCCTTCCTTCCTTCCTTCTTTCCTTCCTTCCTTCCTCTCTCCTTTCTTTCCTCCCTCCCTCCCTCCTTCCTTCTTGTCATTCCTTCTCCCCTACTGCCCCGTCCCACTCTTCCTCCTTCCTTCCTCTCCTTCTTTCCTTCCTTTCTCTCTCCCTCCTTCCCTCCTTTTTTTTTCTTGGCAAAGAGCAAAAAATGACTTCTATTTTTCAAAATGCTGTTTTCTTTGTTTGCAATCCTTAACACCTCTAGAAACCTGTTGCAGCAACTGCCTGTTTCAACTACACAAAGAGGTAAAGAAATACCTCAGGAAGGATGACCCAACAAGTCATGGATTGTCTAGTTGCTGTTAGAAGCGGGGGCGGGAAAGGAGGCTCAAGCTGATGGATATGTAGTTTTCTTTTCAAAATGCTAAAAATATTTTCAATAAACAACTTATTCACTTTAACCTATCAATAAATATCCTTGTCTGTTTTATTTTCCTACTGACTAGCCAGTGGTGGAGGATTTTAAGGTTACCAAGACAGGGTCCACTAATCTAAAAATATATTATTAAGAGCACACCGAGAAAATACTATTTAGAAGGAGGTTTCTCTGTGTCCTCAGGGTCACCTGAGTAGTGCAAATGGTTCCTGTAGTCTGCATTTTTTCTTCTTCTTCTGGAGATCCATTCCTACTCCCACTCCATTCAAAGGGGGTTCATCCCAAATTGTATGGCTAAAAGTGTAGAGATTCTCAGTCCTCCAGGTCATGATTGTCCCGAAGGTGCTTTTTTTTCAGGAAGCAACTGGACTTTCTTTGTTTTTTTTCTTTTGAAGACGTTTCGCTTCTCATCCAAGAAGCTTCTTCAGCTCTGACTGGATGGTGAGGAATGGAAGGATTTATATTCCTTGCAGACAGCTGGTTATTTTCATCCTTTTTAGAGAGTAGTTGACAAGAAAGTCCAGTTGTCTCCTGAAAAAGCACTTTTGGGACAACCATGACCTGGATGACAGAGAGTCTCTACAGACTTTTCGCTATACAAATTGGAATGAACGCCCTTGAATGGGGTGGGAGTAAGAATGGATCTCCCAAAGAAAAAAAAATGAAGACTACAGGAACCATTTGCACTACTCAGAGGACCCTGAGGGCACAGATAAACCTCCAAGTGACCTCAATGACCCTCTAAAAGGATGCAAATGACCAGCGGTCTGCAAGGAATATAAATCCTTCCATTTTCCAATCATTCAGTCAGAACTGAAGAAGCTTCTTGGATGAGAAGTGAAACATATCTTGAAAAGAAAAAAAAACCCACAAAATTCCAATTGCCTGTTGAAGGAACACCTTTGGGTCAACCATGGACGGAGGACGGAGAATCTCTACAGACTTTTAGCTATGCCATTTGGGATGAACACCCTTCAAATGATGTATGGATTTCCAGAAAAAGGGCAGACTACAGGAACCATAAACACTATTCAGGTGACCCTGAGGACACAGACAAACCTCCAAGTGGCCTCAACAACTCTCAATATGGATGCAAATGACCAGCTGTCTGCAAGGAACACAAATCCTTCCATTCCCCACCAGCCAGTCAGAGCTGAAGAAGCTTCTTGGATGAGAAGCGAAATGTCTTCAAAGAAAAAAACAACAACAAGGAAGTCCAGTTGCCAACTTTGGTCCATTATGTTGTCCCAAAGGTGATGGTTGTCCATCAGCTTTACGACAACCATGATTTGGATGACTGTGAATCTCTACAGACTTTTAACCGTACGGAATACAAGCACCTGTGGATGTGCATCGTTTCAAGTACCCAAATAAAGATGATAATCCAAGTCATTAAACCACAACTTTGGCTCGGATGCACACCACACCTAGTGAGTCATGGTGTCTTCACCTGGAATGGAAAAAGAAAGTTTCTACACACACCTGTAAGGGTGATGTCGTCATCTTCTATAATCTCTTCCTCTGCCACGTCCAGGGAATTCTCCGTTATCATGTCGCTAGGTTCCGTCACGCAAGACAGGCCCGAGTAATTGTTCAGGAGGTTGGCGCTCGGCACATGTTCCACGATGACCGCGGGAAAGATGGAAGGATCGCCCAGCTGTTCAGGAAAAACAAGAGGCCGCAAAAGAAAACGTGAGGGAAGGGAAAGGAAGGAGCGAGGCACTACTAAAACACGGACACGGGTTTCAAGCATCAGCCGGAGAAAGAGAAGGGCTTTGTAAGAATACAAAGTCATGCTGGTTCGGCTCTAGGTAAAGGAACACCGATGTTGTGCGTTTTTGTGGCTGTATAGGTAGATCTGCGCTTCCTCTGTTACGTCGGTTGCTGAATCACTCACTGACCTACGAACGGGGAGGCATGTCAAGAGCTGCAGGAGTATATTCATGTAGAATTTAAAAATGATGATGGAGGAGGAGGAGGAGGAGGAGGAGACGACTGTGGGATCCTTGGTGCTCTCTGAGCTTGGTTGTTTGCTTGCAGATGTTTCATTATCCAACTAAATAGCATATTCAGTGCTAGAAGGGAGTGGGGCTTGCAGGGAGGAGGGGGAGGAGGAGGAGACTGTGGGGTCCCTTATGCTCTCTGACCTTTTTATGCCACCCCCCCTTAGAGTCTGAATCCGATGAGGATGAGCAACTGACAGGGAATCGGAGTGTGGCTCCGCTGGCTGTGGAGGAAACTGGGGAAGGGCAAAGTTCAGCTGGGCATTCAAAGGAAGACCCAGGCCCACCCCCTCTTCATCCTAGGGCACGCAAGGAGGAACAGAGAAGGGAGCAACATGGGTGGCATGGCTTACGGGGGAGGAAAGGGCCCTGATTCCCTTCATTAGGCACACCTGGGAAGAGAGTTTAAAATAGATGCAAGCTGAGTGTGGCAGCTGCTGGGAGCAAACTTGAGTTTATCTTGTGTGGACTTTGATTATCTGTGTTCCTGGCGTCCTCCCAACCATGTTGAATTACGGACATTCCTTCACGTCTGGAATTCCTTCTCTTGCCCTGCCGGACTAATTACCTCATTTTGCTTTGATTGGACTTGTAGTTACAGTTTTTGTTGACCACATTTTGGACTTGATTCTCGGCAGCCAAAAGTTGTTCCTGGGATTTTTTCTCCAGCCAAAAGGTAACCAGGACATTGGGGGCAAAGTTGGAGCTAATAAAGGGACTCCTAGTGATTATCTGACTGGGTTGCCTTTGTGCCACGCCTCTTTGGGTCATCACAGAGCTTATCGAACTAAGTAGCATATTCAGTGCTAGAAGGGAGTGGGGTTTGCAAAGAGGAAGACGAGGAGGAAGGGGGGAAGAGGAGGAGATTGCACAAATAATACCTGTATTCTAGTAATAACAAAATAAGAGAGCTGGGAGCAACCTTGGACGTCTTCTAATCCAGCCCCCTGCTTGAGCAGGACATCCTAAATATCATTCCAGACAAGTGACTGTCCAGTTTCTTCTTAAAAACTTCCAGTGTTGGAGCACCCACAACTTCTGAAGGCTGATTGGTTGTTCAAACTGTCAGTCTCTTGGCAACTCTTGGTCCAAAGCCACCCAGCTGGCTTTCATGGCTAAGGGGGGACTAGAACTCACTGCTTTCTAGCCTGGTACCTTCACCAAACTGTCTTTCATCAAACCATCCAACTCGATGTAGCTTTCCTAGATCTACCAAGGTCAAAAAGGTAACCCCCATGTGCTGGGATAATATATAGGCCCCCAAGTTTATTATTATAGTCATCATCATTGTGCCATTTCCATTTCCATAGTCTGTAGACTGTGCAAAAGGGACAATCAACCAGCTAATACAGAAGAAGACTCCAGCTCCTCTCCACCAACAATCAGCCCCCAGATCAGCGTAGATTAATTCCAGGGTCAACTTCAGACCAAGAGTCAAGCAAACAATACCCCAATCAAGGAACTGCCAAAGGGCCATCAGTAAAGAGCCCAACCAAAGAATCCCTCTCTCTCACACACGCACACACACAGGCAGGCAAGACAGCAGAATATAAATGGGCAACAAACAGCATTCCTTCCTACTGGTACAACTGATGATGTTACCTAGTTGGGTCATAAAACATCTGCAGGACAACAAGCAAGCTCAGAGAGCACCAAGGACCCCCTAGTCCTCCTCCTCCTCCCTGTAAACCCCATTCCCTTCTAGCACTGAAGATGTTACCTAGTTGGGTCACGAAATGTCTGCAAGAAAACAACCAAGCTCAGAGAGCACCAAGGATCCCTTAGTCTTCTTCTTCCTCCTCCTCTTCCTCCCTCTAAACCCCACTCCCTTCTACCACTGATGATGTTACCTAGTTGGGTCATGAAACGTCTGCAAGAAAACTACCCAGTTCAGAGAGAACCCAGGACCCCTCCTTCCCAATTTTAACGACGTATTCGAAACTCGGAGTGGCAGTAATTCGCCGTAAGTTATGAGTCGTCCCTGAGAAAAAGCTAGACAGGTTTGAAAATTAGTCTTGAACAAGTTCTATCAAGCAGAACTTCCTCTGACAGGAAGCGAAGGAAGACAGCAGTCACCGCCACGACGACCACACGGAAACAAGAAAGGTTGCAGCAAGCCGGGGTGAAGCAATGCATTCCTCCAAACAGTGACCGGTTGGAGGTTGGCCATGGGTTCAAAACTCCCCTGCACTTCCACCGGTCTCCACATGTAGCTCAGATCTACATGAGTGACGTTGGCTTGGCCGGTATGTGGAAAATCCCCGAGCAAAGGCCACAAGTTACGTCCATTGAACATGTGTCTTCCAGTATGGGTAGTCCTCGACTTACATCACTTTGTTTATCGACCCTTTTCCCCCCCCCCCGTTATGACTTTTCTGGCATCCCCACGATTACATGATCAACATTCAAAAGCTTGGCAACTGGCATGTACTTACGACGGTTGCGGTGTCCTCGGGGGTCACGTGATGCCCTTTTGCGACCTTCCGAAAGGCCAAGTCAACAGGGGAAGATGGATTCACTTAACGATCGGGTTACTGACTTATTGTTAAGGGTCTTGGGATTTAAGAGCCGACCAGCAGTGAACAGCTGCCAGATCTGGCTGATGCAATAAGAGGTGATTCAGCATAGCATGGGTATTTCCCTTTAAGACTGGGGATTAAAGATCCCTTTAAGAGGTGTTTATATAAGAGGCAGCCATTAGAGGGTGTGGTTCTCTCTCCTTGTGTTGAGTATTCATTGCAGAGTTCTCCGTGTAGAGTTAAGAAGATTGATTGCTTGTAAGGTATTTTTGCCTACCACATATATATTTTGTATATAACTGTCTTGTAGATAAACCGCTGTTAAATGTCTAAGTCTCTGTGTTCTAGGTTTTGCTCTTGGGTTATCTCATAATGGCAGTCAAGCTGCAAACGCTCTGACACTTATCGACTGTGGTGATTCGCTGAACAACCAAGGCAAGAAAAGTCATAAAAATGGGGCAATTTTACCACTTTCCTTGCCACACCGTTGCTAAGTGAATCACTATAATTAAGATAGGAGCGTGGTCGTTAAGTGAATCCGGCTTCCTCGTTGACTTGGCTTATCCGAAGGTCACAAAAGGGGAAACACGTGAAACCCCCCCCCCACACCGGGGATGCCGCAATGGTCATAAATATGAGCTAGTTTGCCAAGCATCTGAATTTGGATCTTGTGACCATTGTAACTTGGAACGGTCACTAAACGAACTGTTGTAAGTCGAGGACTACCTGTAGTAGGTTCATACACTCTGGACACCGGACTATATTCAGGATATTGCTCAATATGTATCTTAAGAGGGTGAACTTTCCACTTAACAGCTTCGGAAAGGCTCTGATATCCTTATGGGACGTTATTTCATTTCCAAATTGCTAGTTTGGAAAATATCCATGGGGGGGGAGGGGGAGGAGGAGCAAATGCTGGATCCCAAACACATGGCTTAAAAGGGGTGCATTATTTTAAATGTCTTGAGAATTCTTCAGGGGGAAAAATGTTATTTAACCCCAATTTTAAAAAGAAGAAGCAGGATGAGTTAACAAAAGTGGGGGAATTGCATACTTTTTAATGATGTCTTCTTCTATTAATACTCGAGATCTAGTATAAACATGGTGACTCACTATTTAGATTTATGGATTTAAAATAAGATCCAGATGAAATTCTTGAAAAATTGCAAGCATTACAGACATTCTCAGGAATCTGACGGTTATTTACTGGATGTGACAAGATCTAATAATCTATATTCTGCACCCAAGGAGGAAGAAGGCAAACAAAAAACATATTTCTGTCCCATAAGTGGAAAAAATATTGCAGCAAATCTCTAACTTAAGTAGGATAAAAGTGAGCTAAAAGAAACAAAATAAAATTTAACTGACCTAAATACTAATTCCTTCACTTAGCAAAAGGAAATTAAAAGACAAACATCAAAGGTGACCTACCCAATTTAGTAATGACATAAAATAATTTTGGAAATACCGATGCACTATAAACTGAATATAGGTCAAGCAATGTGATGTGGTTGCAAAAAAAAACAACCCACTTTTTAAGCTGCTGCATAAAAATAATTTTCAGGTCAGAGTGAAATAACTTCCTTGCTCTCATCCCACTCATTCTTCGGTGCTGCTTACTTCTAGACATCATTTTTAAGAAAATTGTTATTAAGACTCTTTATCATTTCCCTGTCAGGACAAATCTTTAAATTTGTGACTTAGGCAGGCAAGAAACAATTTGACAAATTCCTGTGGCCGCTTCCAGTTCTTCCAATAAGAAATGGAAAGCTGTCATATCACTGATGCATTTCATCAATTGGCTTTTTTTTAGTTGATTTTTTATTGATTTTCTATTCAATACATTTCTTAGTGCTTAATAAACATCTGAATGTCTGGGTATTTAATTTGCTTAACAATACAAATTTACATGCTTAATCTCCTTTTTTTCCAACCATTGGCAAAATAAATTCCATTTTTGATAATATTCTACATCTTCTTTCTGTTTAATTTTCAATGCTCATCTATCCATTTCTGCACAATCTAGTATCTTTCTGACTATCTCTTCATCTCGTGGTGTATCTTCATTTTTCCAGTATTGTGCGAAGATAATCCTCATTGCTGTTAAGACATATAATGTTAAATATATAGTTTCC